ATTCTCTTACCTAATGGTGATTATATATTTACAGATATGTGACATGCTACAAACTGGTGGCACTGTTGTACATGACGACAATCTACAATCTCCATATGCTTACAATGGTAACCAATGGGTTGGATATGACGATACTGAAAGTATAGCAAGAAAGGTTAGTACGAGTTTTAAAATTAATTCAATGTAATATAAAATAAACAAACTATTCCATTATTTATATGCTATTTTAAATATTAATTCATTATTCATATGTGATTTGGTATTTATTTGAGATTAAAATGTTTATAATTTCCCCATTTTTCCAGACACAATGGATAAAAGATAACGACTATGGTGGTGTTATTGTGTGGGCACTCGATCTTGATGACTTTAGTAATAGTCACTGTAGTGAAGGACCATATCCTTTATTAAATGCTATTAAACAAGGCTTGGAAAACGACGTTGTTGCTAATAACCCTACTGAGGAACCGATCGCTATCAAAGGTATTAAAAAAACTTGTAGGTAATAAAATAATTTTGTTTGAGTTAAAATATGATTAGTGGCAATTCAATAAACTGCAAATAATTTAGCTATCGGTTGATTGATATTGTGGAGGGACAATTTGATTTCCAGACATCCATTCGTAGAAGCCTTTTTTTTTTTAAGAAAGCCTACCTAAAGTGGCTTAGATTGGCACGAGACCAGCTAATTAATTTTTGTTAAATAGAGTATACAATGCACACGAAAAAAAAATCATGCTAGGTTCCCTTAGGCCCTATTGTAGCCCAGGCCTAGACAAGGTTTATTAATATTAGTGTATCAATAATAAATTCAATATAATAATAAGAACAGGTAATACAAAGAATATGAAAAAATTGGATCGGTTGAAATATATACCGGAAATTTACAATAATAATCATTTTTGTAATTATTGCATCATATTTTTGTGAAAAAAAAAATTTAGGCGCTAAATTTCAGAGGTCAAGGTGCCGACAGCCTACACATCTCATACATTCCACATTAAATAAATGAATGGTGGCCTGACTTGACGTCGATGAATAAATGAGAGAATGATAATAGACTAATATGTCGGTATTATCATGATAATAATGTTGGTGTTTATATAACGCCGTACACACATAAATCTCAGAGTGCTTCATCTTATCCCTTCAGCCAATCGAACGATACCTGTACAAACATACTTACGGTAGCTCCTGGGAAGTATTCCATAATTTGCTGCTAAAATAAACTAGCGCATTGGGTTTCAAAACTCTAGGTAACCATTTTTATTTCTGGGTGGAAAGACGTGAATAAGTGCCTTGCCAAAAAAACACAATTGAATTGCATAGCCAGTGTTTTGAACCGACAACCTGAAAGTTGAGAGTTAAAGCCACAACCGTTGCGCGAACCACCGATCCTTGCGCACCCGACTAAATCGTGTTGTTTGCAAACCAAGCTTTAATAACCCTCTAATTTTAACAAAATTATTCGTTTCAGCTTTTGAAATAAGCCTTCGTATTACAAACGTTGGAACCTCAGATGCAGAATTCGATAACGACTTATACGACCAAGAATCTAAGCTGTACATAGAGTATGAGAAGGATATATGTGATTCCGTAAGTCAAATTTGTTTCTTAAACATACATAATAAAAATATACCATTCTGGCAATTAATTTTGTATTTCACAATTTCTTTATAATAAGTGTCATTAACTGTAGTTTTGGGCCAAATTTGGCATTATATCTCTGCCGGTAAAGCAGTCAAAATGTTTGTATGATGTTGATAGTTTAGAAAAATATTTGACATCTGTGTGTAATTTTAATCTAAAGGGTTTCTACATACTGAATGTGATAGTGTAGACAAAGCTTTATATCAACTATTAACACATTTTGCAGTCCACTGATAATATTGAGCGCTTTACTTCAGAGTTTAAGTTGATTCAAGATACAAGATAACAATATTGTTGTAGCATATAACATGGTAACATGGTATTTGGTTTTAGATGCAGTAATAGAAGATATATTTTTTTTTTTTAAGACTCATTCTTGTATTTATCATTTTGAATGTCATTTTCCTAAGGTGACAACTTTATATGACAAAAGTAGTACCGTTACTAGTGACAGCACAACTTGCTCAGTGTCCAGCTTTGAACAAGGAAGCATCATCGCGAACGTGCAGGTGGAGTTTCCAAACTCGACTAATAATGTTGATGAATTACAAACGATACTTGTAGAGGCTGTCGAAAACGATACTTTACCTGGCACCAATTTTACTGTTGATAGCTCCTCTATAACTGTAATAGAAAGTAGGTTGCAAAAATATGACATTGCTATTCTGTTATGATTTGTGATGATTTCTCTCCCTCTCTCTCTCTCTCTCTCTCTCTCTCTCTCTCTCTCTCTTAGGCATAAAGAAAAAAAATAAAACAGTAGCCTAAATTTCAGGCTGTGTTCTGATTGTTCAGTTGTCAAGTTTGATTTACACTCAAGTAAGGTTTAGTATAAAACACATGAAGCAACAATATATTTTGTATCCAGTAACTTTTGTTTGCAGTTGAATACCAACTACAAACTTACCCATCCACATTTCCAAACACAACCATACTCAATGCTATGCAATGCATGATATTTTGTTGGTAAATATATATGCAAAAGCCAAAGAAATCATTGCCTGATAGGAAAAATGATCTGTGATAACTATGAGGATGGAGATGGAAACGTTGATAGTAATGTCGACAACAGTGATAATTTAACACTAGCAATAACCGTGCTTAAATTAATTGCTCTAGGTCTTTGAATTATTATTTATTTTATAACAATAAATATATGTATATAATATGTATATCAATTATATATACACTCTTGTCCGCAGTTCGACCAACTACTATAGCTGCAATGGAGACAAGCACTGCAGCCAAGGTTGAACCAACTACTGTGACAGTAGTAGACGAAAGTACTACTTTCGCAAATGAACTGAGTACTAGAGCTGAAGTGCAAACAACTACAATACCAGCAGTGGAACCAAGTACACAAGCAGGAGAAATATTTACAATAGAAACAGATACTATCGTCATAAACTTACCAACAGTGGAATCAACTAGAGTACCAAAGTTGGAACCAAGTACACCAACAGGACAGACATCCTCAAAACAAACAGATGATGTAGGTATTACAAAACCAACAGTTAAACTAACTACAGTAGTAGTAGAACCAACATCATTCAAAACAGAGATTCCATCTACTGTACCTGTAGAAGAAGACCATACGAATACTCGTACACATACAGCAACAGTACTAGAGCCAACTACAGTAAGAACATCTGCAGGCAGACCACGGACTACAGAAGTCGAATCAACCCCTGATACACCAGAACAAGCATTCTCTACGTTTAGAATAGGTGAGGTACTCTTTTAAATTTCTCTAAATTAAATTTCATTAAAACATTATCTAATAAATTTTATATTATTGGGTTGTATTTCTCTAATATTATCACTACAAACTTTTTCATGCAAAAAGTAATTATACATTAATCAATCATAAGCACAATGCACATTGATTTCAGAAACGACAACATTTGGCGTTAGGTTTCGCATTATAAAAGTTAATGGAACAGAAGCAGTATTCATTGATGATCTAAATGACCCGAATTCTTCGTTATACGTGCAGTACGAACATGACATATGTGATTCTGTAAGTTCAAAACAGCTAATAGTATACTTATTTTATTCAAACTTTATTAGTCTTTTAAGTGAAAAGACAAGCAGAAATATATTCATATATTGATATAACAAGAAATGACATGGTGGTGTATCATTACATAAAGTATTAAAGGTGTAGCTTGGAGGTTAATAATGTTGCATTCCAATCCCAAATTAATGGGTTTAAATCCTTTTAAGTCAGATTATTATACTCTTTGTGAAGGGATAAGTCGTTGCACCGAATGAAAACGATTTACTTTACACAAGGTTTCGTACCAAACTTTTAAGTTGAGAGTCCAAGCTATAGGCGTTGCCGAAACATATTCCTTAATACATTATACACTTTATTATTTTTATTTCAGGTGACATCTGTATACGTTGATAGAAGCGATATATCAAGTGACGATCTTTTATGTTCAGTTTCGAGTTTTGAATCTGGCAGTATTATCGTTAACTTACAACTCGAATTTTCACAAGGCGCTACCTACGCCGATGAACTACAAATGATTCTAAAAGATTCAACTGATTCGGGCATTTTACCTGGGACTCAATTTACTATTGACACTGCATCGGTAATTGTGATAAAAAGTGAGAATTGTTTAAAAATACGTTACATAAAGCCCGACGCGATTTATCGTCGGAGACAGTCTTAAGCCATCGTGAGAAATATTAAACGTGTTTAATATTCTACGACGCTACTGCCCCCGACGCAAGACATCGCGTCTGCGTTTAACTCACACAGACCCGTTACGACAAAAAATCGCGTCGGGCTGCGTCGTACGACGCTGTCTGAGTTGGCCTTAATATGTCATGTTTACTTAGGAAAGAAGAACATTAAATCTAGACAGCCATAGTGTATACAGTTAATATCAGAGTTTGCTAGTAGTCAACCCTCAGGCATTGCAGAAGATTATACATTCTTTCACATATTAGGCCTAACACAATTGATTTGCTTTTATTGCGCTCAAAGATCAAATAAAAATTCAGAGAGGAAATTGCCAACATTGTTAGAATAGAAATCAGTGACCATTGCAGACCCCATTTGTTAAGTTAGCAGAAAAGAAATATGAAATTATAAAAAAAATCGTTTATCCATATAATAATTTTAAAATATTATGTATTTATTAATATTACATTATATTAAATAAAAAACTTAAGAATAACAGGAATAATTATATTATGGTATTATGTACACATTACAAAATTAATTGATTGGTTTACATATTATTATTGTTAGAATAGTGCTATATAAAGGTTTTTGTGTTTAATAACGTGTAGTTACATTTCTTTCAGTGGAATTTTGTGCTTCTGGTTTTTGTGAAAATGGTAAAACCTGTGATAATAGTGTTCAGCCACCCGTATGTACATGTACCTCTCAATATAACGGTGACACATACCAAGACCAAGAAAAATACAGTAGGTCTTAATGTTTTAATTCCTTCTCTCCATCTTTAAACGTGCAATATTATTTTCAGACATAACCTCACCACAACGTTCACAATGTTCTCAACGTTTGCGAATGTTATAATCATTTAGTGGTTGCTGGGGCGGCATGACGTCGTTGACA